TTTTTTAATGGCACTATATATTCTTAGTGTGGCCACCTATGGTTTGTAAAACTTTTAAACATAAGATACCTACTTTGTGTGTAGTCAAAACATGTTTAATCTATATTCATAAAGAGACTGTGAAGCAATTATCAATAGCTAAAAATATATAATTTGAGCATAGTATATCTTAAAAGTAAAATGAATATCAAAAAGAAAAAAGAAAATAAAACAATAAACGATGAGAAATAAGCACCTAACAAACACTATCAATTTATCCAACATTCCATCCTGGCTGGAGTTGTCTTTTCAATATATCACCGTCGTGCTTTAAATATCTCAATTTTATTTTTAAACAGTAATTCACTATTCAAAATCAAACAGTACATTCTAGCTGTTTTTCTGTTTCTCGCGGATTACTTCCTGGATACAAACGACGACCATGACGGTCATGAACAATCACATGTTCCTTTGTCATGAATCTTACCCTCAGTTTAAAACCGTTCATGTTTGATTCGGCGATAATGCACCCACCATGTGACCTGCTGGTTGAGCTTTGAGGTCTTTCTAGAGAGCCATCCTCACTGGATGTTGCCGAGCGCGATTGCCGGTCGTGACAGCGGACAGCTAAATGATTTGAGTTGTCTGTCAGGTTAATTCGATTCTTTCCATCAGTGGCCGACATACAGTAAAAGCCATTAATATTATGGTACTTTGCAAGACTATTTGGTCGTTTCGGTTTGAGCTTTTTCGGGCAAAACACTTCCGCTAAACCCCTAAAGATCTGAATGTTGAATATGCCGTATACAACAGGGTTTACAGCACTTTGAAGTAATGCTATCGTTTCTGCGAATGCCATCACTGAATTTGGAATATGTAGTGTGTAGTTACTATAAATTAAACACAATGTCGTCACAAAATAAGGCGTCCAGCAGGCGATAAACGTGAGAATAATACAAAATGTCATTTTCACAGTTTTCATTTTGGCAAGAGATATTATTCCTTTATTCACAATGAATCGTCTGAGAGAAATATCGCTATTTGATAGATAGGTTTCAGACCTTCCTTGTTTCCAGACAACTCTAGCAACGTTTATGTAGCAGAAGGAAAGAAGAACACTTGGAAAGATAAGGATATAAAAAGACATGAATGTAATGTAGGTTTTTCGCTGCCATGGCGCTGTATATCCTTGGCTATGACAACCGTACTTTAAAGTCTGATCGGAATGGACACCGTCTACCGTTTGTTTAAAAATAAATAATTGTGGAATGGAGACCACGAATGAAAGACACCACGACACTATGATCATTGACCGTGACCTTGAACTTGATGCCGTGAAACGTAAAGGTCGGCATATTGCCATATATCGATCAAATCCCATAGCAGCTAGAATAAACGTTGTACTTGAAAGTGTCACAACTTGGATGTATGTTAACAATTTACATCCAAAATTACCTAATACCCACTCGCCAAAGCAAACAAAAAGAATCTCCGTCGTCATGGTTGCAAAACACACGGCTAAGTCTCCAATTGCCAGATTAATTATAAATATATTGACTCTGTTGTTTCTTTTCCGGTATTTGCTACACGTTAATACGAGTATTATGGCGGTGTTTCCGATAAATGTTAAAACCATGATGATCACTATTGAAACTACTCTTTGAATAACATCTTCAGTCCATATTTCTTCCTCCTCCTTTAAAGCAATAGTGGTAATCAGAAGGCTTGTTCCATCACAAAGCGTTCCATTTGGAAAGTCCTCACAATTCGTCGAAGTGAGGCTTTCCGCCATAATTTGTATTAGCTCATTCATCAGTGCATCTTTTGTCCTAAACAAAATAATAAACACATAAATATAGCAATGGAAATGAGTACAGTATGACGACAAAGGCAATGAGTGTGATGTAGAGGTAAATTATACGACAATTATTCACCGGGGAATTAATCGTAAGGTTCCGTTGTATTAACGATTCCACTGAGAATAGTGTATCGTACAATGAAGCATTGTCTTGCATATAAATGCATCACATCACATCCAATCAATCAAAAGCAACTTATTTCTACTTCAATACAACTGCTTAAGTGCATCTTTATTCAGAAGCAAATAAATTGTTGTTTACGCATTAAAATACAAGAACAAACAAATGCAACATCTCAAATTAAACGTGAAGAATATTTTGCATGTGAAATGTGTTTGATAAATAAGATCACGTTGTGCGTGAAAGAATAAAAAAGCAGAACTAAACAACCTTTTGTTTACAATCCACGTATGTGATATTTTTTAATATTATTTTTTTGGTTTTATTAGAGAAAAAAATATTTTTTTCAAAAACCGATTTCAGACAATTTACCAGCTGTATTGCTTTATCTATACTTGGACATTGTCTAGAAATTACAAAATCCTTCTTATTGTGAGTTTATCATAACAGTTTTGTATTTATGTTATACATTTTTGACATACCAATGTGAAGGATTTTCTCTTAAATGTTGTGCACTGGCTGAATTTAGAAGAAAAAAGTCCGTTAAAATACGAAAAATATGTTTCACTGTTACAGTAGTGAAAAATACTTTTACAGTGAAAATACAGAAAATAAAAATACGCATTTTATTTCTTCAATCTTTCTAAATATTATATTTATATTAAATAAATGACAAATTTATTTACTTGGTTGTATTGATATCACATGCATATATTTTTTCTGAATGCCAATAAACTTTGAACTTTATTTTTCACAGGAATCTTAATGCTTGCAATTCAGGCATTGAACTTAGTACATGTCTACAAAATTTCACACATACCATAATGCTTCCAAGCTGTTACACTCCTTTGTAATAAGAGAACAAAATTACAGAAATCGTTTTTCTCATTTTGTTTCTTTTCAACCTGATACAACAAAATGACAACTTGACAAATGAGATCGGCAAGTAACAGTTGTTTAGGTTTATATTCAAACGGAAACGATTCATAAGAAAAATCATCAATACAAAGTATGCTTATGAATTTATTAAAAAAGGATAAGCAGAAAATGAATTTTTGTTTTGTTTGTTAATTTTTTTTGTCATAAAGTACTCTTTATCTATTTATGCTAAAGATATATAGTTTAATACTACTTTTCTGGAAAAATAATTATTTATAGATTAGTTAAATAAATGATTTATTCTAAACCTGGACACTATGACAACAATAATTTAAAAATGAATATAAAAATATCTTTCATTTAATCTGATCAGTGCGTTTGTTTTTCTTTCATATTTCTATATTACACTGGATTTACAAAAAAACAGTAAATAAAATAATGTTATGAAAGTATCTGACAAATAAAGATACTTTAATATAGACTAAGACAGGTCTTGAAATCAATTCAGATGTGAGGAATTCCACGTATGCTCTCTCATCGTAGATTTAAATAACGATATATTAAAGTCACATGTCTCCAGATAAGCCAAAATATTTCAAAAAGATCAATCATAAAAAAATATTTCTTAGACTTTAGGAATGTAAAAATATTAAAGATTCAACTACAGCAATAATTGACATGTTATATGTGGTTAATGATTTTTTTCTCAATATTATGACAGTAATATGACTATTTTAGTGTGTTTTTAACGCAGAAAGGGCTTTTTTGCACATATTTATCTCGTTTAGTAGTTTACGTGAGTTGTAAGTGCAATTAATTAGGTGTAAACTGCTTCCTTTTGGACACTTCACATTATTATAGAATTACACATATTTTAGAAATTTTCATGGATATTAGCATAAATCGAGAGGCGTGCTGCTGTAAATTTAATAGATGTAATAAAAGAAAATGCGATTCTGACATAACAACGCTTGCTAGACATTCAACCTTGTTGCAGATGATATGATACTTTAGAAGACATAAGCTCGGAAGACATACTATTAAAAAAACATCGGAAACTGATTTGTCATGACTATGATACATAGCAATAAATGGAGGATTGTCATTCTATGTCAGACACTAGCACCAATATTTCGCGACAGTTATTGAACTAAATGATAACAAAATATCAATTTACATTTAATATATACTTTGACATATTATTTAATACATGTTTTTTGCACAAGTCGTTCGTCTGGAATTAAGGACGGTTTCTATCAATACAGGAGCCAGCTCATTCCATTTTGTATAATTGCATTTTAGTGACAGCAGAAAAAAAAAATGTAAAGAAACTTACATAGAATTCGCAGGCCATGAAACAGTTTCTTAAACGTAAATACATGCACGATGCAATACTTTATATATACTTTTGTCGAAATAATTATCGTATTGAATATAGTTAAATAACACCAAATGCAAAATAGAAACCGTTGCCTGTTAATGTAAGGATGATATTCTCTGCCAATATAACACTAACTAATTTTAACCATAAAACATTAAGCAAACTTGTACATCGTTGGTCGAAATGTATAGCATATGAATCTTCATATAAATCTTTAACTGTTAAATATTCAACACTCAATTATTATCACCACTTGGTATTGTCCCCGCTTAGCTCTACATACATCTGATTTGTCGTTCAGGGGTCGCTAGTTTAATTCTCGTGCGATACAGAATTTGTAATTGAAAACTGGTCTCGAACAGTAAGTCTAATGGTAATTATGTCTCTCACGGCTGATTCATGAAACCAAGAGGGTTTATTGGTCCGTCATTTGAAACTTTAGTTCTACAGGACAGCCGAAGAGGATGGCCGATCGCTGGGGAATGTCCACAAGTTGTGTTCAAAAAATCGTTAAAATAAATAAAAAAATATGTTACAGTTAAATGATTATGTAGTTTTTAGATAAAGAATGTCATTCTTACATAAATAAAGTTACGTTTTAATCAATGAGAAAGTAATTTCATGTTTAGGAAAAATAAAAGAAAATACAGTATAATAATTCGATATTTACTTAAAGTCCCATAATACCTTAGAAAGTCTCTCAATTGCTGTTTCAATTTTGGTTTACTTTATTGTTATCCAAACAGTTACTCATTGGCCGATTACCTGATCAATCTTTTTCATGTTTTGTGTTTTGGCAAGTACAGTAATAGTGAATTATTATTTTATATTAAAATCAATGTACTACTTTGTTTACATTTTGCCACTTTTATGGCTACTTTCTTCAGGTAAAAAATATTTAACATTCTCTTAAACCATGTTTCAAGCATAATATACACTCAGGTTAAACCTTTCTAAAGAAGCAAAAAAAGAATGTTTCTTAGGCATTATTTGCCTTCAACATCTTCTGTCATTTACATAATCAATGGCACTGTAATGAATGTACACTCAAGTACATTTATCCATTTATTTACATAGTGTTTATTTACATTGGTTATTATGTCAGATTATCACTATCAATCATTGACATAATATATGTTTAAAATAAATTGACGAAAAACATATATGCGTAAATATACGTTTGTCTTCAGGTTAAAAGCAGGGGAATTAACGAACTATGATCGCATTTTATAGCAACTTAATTTTGGAGGAAAAAAGTGAAAAGTTGATGGATTCCCATACTTTTGTCAACTAAGTTTTAGATTGCAATTGAATATTCCACAAAAACGATGAAAAACAAAAATAAAGGTTTGAAATGTACGTAACAGAGGTTGAAAATAAATCTTAACAGTGTGTATAGATTTCCTTAAGCGATTTAAACGGCTTTAGATAATATCAAAGGATCTTTATTACTGTTATCATATAAAGTTACCTTTCCAATTATTGAATTTTAAGAACCATACGGCATTTTAAAACCTTTTGTTTGTCTTGATCGGTAATTGTCTGGAGGATTTAATGTTAAGAACTCTCTTATTTATGGTAAATTTCCTATTAATTGGTACAAAACATTATATTATAACTTAGTAATTTGTTATCACGGTCTCACGGGAATTGTCTTTTGTTGTTTACTTCCCGGCATTCCGATTTTTATTACGTCAAGGGCGAAAAAAATGTTTTAGTGAATTTTTTATTGTGCATTCAAGTTATTGTAATCATTTTTTTGTGCACTAAAATTATATTTTCTGTAAATAATACTTATTATCATACATCTGTAGATTTTGTTGTTATCTTCTAAATTTAATTTTGTGATAAAACGTGATGAAGCTAAAACCAAAATTTCTTAAAAATGTGAGATAAATTTTGCTTAAAAGTCTATAAATATAAATGTTAACGACAAGTAGATATCGACCCGAGAATTGAATCTTAAACACAATATTCTTTCAACATTCATACAAGATACAGTATAAAATGGCGGCGTGGGTCAGTGGTTAACGTGTTGGCCAAGAAATCTAAGGATTGCTGGCCGCGTAATTTCAAACCTCGCCAGGGGCAAACCGCTCCATTTTACGCTTATTAGGAAGGATTTGAAGAGGTTTCATTAAAACAGATAATTGAATTATAACAAACTCGTAAAACAACATATGATGAAAAAACAAATAATAAAGAAATAAATATATCAGCATGCGTAAAATATTTTTGTAGAACTTTTGAAATTTATTGTTAACAGTAAAATTGACCTATATTTTAATATTTGCATGGATTTCGAATGAATTTGAATTATATTCCGTTACAAGAAAATATGATTTAGGAGGCATTTTGCTAATGATGAACAATATTTGCTAATAAATGCTTCTATAACTTTTAAATTATACAATAACTTTTCAATATATTCTTTTTTAATAATGATCAAAATGTTAATAGCATAGATAATAGTTATTTTAAAAGGAATAGTTTATTCATTGCACCATTTTGTCAGCTTTAGGGCATTTTCGACATGCAAACATGAATAAGTAAAAAACTAAAAAATTATAAACTTCAGTTATTG